CAGAGACAAGGAAAGGATCTCTCACATAGATCCAAAATAAAATGTTTTAAAACCTAAAGACAGGTAAAATTGAAACTGTGTTGAATCAGATTAACTTATTTCTGTAACTGTGTATAAAGTCTAACAATTAAGCACTACTGATTAAGTAGAGAGTAGACTTTTTTGAAGGAAGGAAAAAGGGGTAAACTTTCCCGGGTATGAAATACAATTGGGAATACATATATAATATGTAATTAATTGGTAATTGCAGGGTCTTACTAAAACTTAAAACTTCGCTATTTTTAGCACCATTAAGGCTAAAAGGCAGGGGTGGCAAGTGAGGGATGGCGGGGCGGCGGGGGGGAACACCGACACTATCTTATAAAGATTAAAAAGACGAATGATGGGATCCTGTTAAGCATGAAGGTAAAGGGAGTAATCAACACCTGCACTGGTAGGTTTCCCGTTTACATATGAACCTTATAGGAATTCTGCTTCTCGTCTCAAAGTCCAAACCAAACATTTATTCCCACCTTATTCTGTTTAATGGTTATACGATTCTGTTTCTCTTTTTTCACTCCAAAACAAAAATATACCTCCAACCTGCTCCGTTTAAGGTTTTTGCGGTAAGGAGGTGGGGGTGGGGAAGGGCCGTTTCTGAAAGATATTTAAAAAAAAGGTATCAGATCAAATATTAAATCATGGAAAAGTTGTATACAAATTTTACTTACAAATTCTAGCGGGGTTTTAAATCGTCGACTGTCAACGTCAGGAGAGCCCTTAGCGTGTTCTTTCTGCTCCACAACGCTGAGCTGCACCCCTCGGACGCGGCGGAACAGAACGTCGTCCCGTCCCTGCCCACGTGACCGCGACCTCCGCGGGGAAGGTAGGCGCCCGCGGAATGCTGGGACTGGTAGGCGCCGGCCCCTCCTCCCCGCAGGCGGCCAGCGGCCGAGCTGGAGGCTGGAGGCGCGGTGAGTGCAGCGGCAGAACTGCAAGCCTCCCCGCGTTCTCGGGCTGCTACCAGACCCGGAGGCAGGCATCCCTGCAAGACCCTGGAGGACCCTAAGCCCTCATAAAGTCCTAAAGTTCATAGGCTCGAGGAACCAATGGAACCAACACAGTGAGAGGTACTAGCCAAAGACACTGGCAAGCACCAGTCAGACTTGACTTAGAAGCCGGCCTCTGCCATTACGAGGTGCATGTCCTCAAACCAGTTGCTTAATCTAAGCCCGAGTTTGCTCTTGTCAAATGCAGACAACGCTACATACATAGTACCTCATAAGATGGTTGTGAGTAAATGAGCTAATGTACATAACAGTGTCTACTAAACGACATTAGTAAATGATGAATAAAAAATAGCTATCATCTTAATCTATTAATTTTATAAAAATGAAAATTGAGAGATGGCAAGCAACTTACACGCAAGAACACATAATTGGTTAAAGGCAAAGTCAAGTAAGTCTAAAAGTCCTGTTCCTGACCTGCACCAATTCAATACAACATAGAAGAAATCTACTCACATAAATCTCACTTCCGCTTTCTTGATTTTTTTCCCATAACACTTCTGACCAACACACTATTGTAATTATTTTGATTTTTATCTGACTCCCATAGAATATAAAAGCCTAGAAGGCAGGGAGGGTTGTCTTCTGGTCTCTTCTTTTACTGCTGTATCCCCAGCACCTAGAACAGGGTTTGCCTAGTACATAGCACTAGCTCAATAATTTACTGGATTACTGATTCTTCATGTAACTGATTTTTTGGTGTCTTCACCTCTCAACCATCCTTTTTTTGGCAGAAAACACGGGATTTGGGAACATTCTTAGATGCTGTTTAATTGACTGCAATTTCTAATTCAACAAATAAGTGGAAGACATATTCTAATCACTTCATTTTCTAGACATTTTCATTTGTATTAACCGTCTTTAAAATATTTTTTCTATCACTTGTGAGAATGGGGAATAAATGCAGCTAGCTACTGTGTCTTTACTTCCTCTTATTTAATATTTCAATCTTTTCCTTATTAAAAATAACGTTTCCTCTTTCTACTAAGATATAATCTCAAAGTTATTTCTCTGGGCTTCCCTGGTGGCGCAGTGGTTGCGCGTCCGCCTGCCGATGCAGGGGACACGGGTTCGTACCCCGATCCGGGAAGATCCCACATGCCGCGAAGCGGCTGGGCCCGTGAGCCATGGCCGCTGAGCCTGCGCCTGCGCTTGGGGGAAGATCCCACATGCCACGAAGCGGCTGGGCCCGTGAGCCATGGCCTCTGAACCTGCGCTTCCGGAGCCTGTGCTCCGCAACGGGAGAGGCCACAACAGTGAGGGGCCCGCATACCGCAAAAAAAAAAAAAATAGCTGCTTTATTTAGAAATCCATTGTCAAGAACATTAGATTTCTAGACTTAGGCCTAGTAGCTAGGTCCTTAAATTGCCAGTCATTTAACCTGAATTATAATTTTTTGTATATCTGTCTTCCCTAGTATATGGCAAATTCCCTCAGGGTAAAGAACACTCTCATTAATTTAATTCATATATTTATTAAGCATCTATTCTGTGTTTAATAAATATATGAATTAAATTGATGAGTATATTCTTTGTTGTAATCATTTCTTCTCTATTGTTCTCTTTTGATTCACTGAATTCCTCTACATATCTCAAACTCCCAAAGTAATTGTTTAACATCTGGAGTTCATGCTTCCTCTCTTGGTTATTGGCAGCCCAGCAATTCACTTATAAAGTTAGCTATGAGTCTGCCTCTGTAATGTCACCTCTTTTGGGCCACCCTTGTAGTTTGGAAAACATCTATAGCAGAATATCTGGTTTGACAAGGGTTTACCTTTACCTCTCAGTGATGAAAGTTGGTATTTGTAAAGTTGCTAAGGTGTGGGAGGCACATATGGCAGAGCTAGGATTATGTATCCTTATTACCTAGATAAAGAGGGAAAATCCTAAGCAAATATATGTGTTAATGCTAAATTAAAGTTGCCGTTCCTCTGATTTTACTTCAAGCGTCTCATGATCTGTTTCTTTGAAAACCATTCCTAAACTCTTACAAGCATTTTTAATTACAAAATAACACATGTACTGAATATTCAATAATATATAGAATCTCCTGTCCTCTCTTTTTTAATATGTCCCCCAAAACTAAGTTTTACAATCTGTAACCAAGTTTCCATATAGTCACCTGTCCTGGTAACTGTTTTAAAGAGGCTCTTAATATATGCATTACTGTTCATAATATGAACTTTGTATATTAATACTATAAAGTTTTATATTCTTTAATAATTTCATCTATTACAGAACTTTTACTATCATGTTAATAATGAGTAATATAATAGGTACCTTATAAAGCATTAGTTAAATAAAAGCCAGGTATTAACCAAGTATCAACACTTTTCAGCATTTTGTCAGAAAAGACTAAGTCCCACGAATCTTCCAAATATACTATCCAACTCAGGCTGACGAGGGAGAACATGCTTTTAATTTTCCCTTAAGACAAAAGATTTTTTTTTATAGTAGCATCTCCCATGTTGCTATTCCTTCGGTTTCTTTGGCTATATTGTATACAGCAAAAAAAAAAAGCTCAATTAAATGAATCTCCTAACAGGCAAAAACCTAGGTGATTTCTAAAGCATGTAATTCCTCGTCTGTGGCCAAATTTTCGGACAATTAGTGAAAACACTGAACACCTTAAGATTTCATTAAATTGAAATCTGTGCCCAGTTTGGACAAATGAGTTGCTCAAAAACATTCTAAAGTGATTTTAAATACATGAAAGAATAAACAAATACCTTCAAAATTTTGAGGCTCGTTCACTATAATTGCTATCCAAATTGCAACTTTTTAAATCTAGTCACTAAAATCAATTATAGAAAATCGTCCAAGAAGTGTGTGTATATTTGAAGGCAAGATTAATCTTTTTTCAATAATTGTTCAGACTTTATACTAACTTAATTAACATTCCCTCGGTGTGTCTAAATTTGGTTAGATATTTGCAGATTATCCACATCTGCAAATACGGTACACAGAGGTGGAACACAGGCTTTTATCATGCTTTCTTATTCAGTAAACTAAACGCAGGAAAACCCTATATCAAATGCAGTATATCAAGTCATGCCCAGAATCAAAGTAAAAATAATGGATTACAAGTGAAAATTACAGTGCCGTCATTAATTAAAATATTTGTTCATTTCTCACTGTCCATAACACAGCACTAGCAAGCTTTCTGAACAGTGCTGCTGGACTACAGCTTTTACACGAAACCAGGAATAAGACTGTTTGCTATGCGCACATCTTGCAAATGTTAATCCACCCCAGTATGCCTGTAGATCCGATTTCGTACACTCAACGAGGGACTGAAAACTTAAAAAGTGGTTAAATGCCTTCCCAAGGACCTTGAAACTAAAATTTTCTCCAAGATGACACCTGCAAAAGTATCTTTCTTATCAACCCCTGCTAAGGAACACTTGGAAAGGTACGGCGGAGGCAGCAGTCGATCAGAGGCTGCGGGAAAACTGCGCAACAGCCTGGGAGTGAGGACCGAAACTTCCCCTCCACTCCGCCTTTCCCAGGTTCTCTGTACTGGGGGACGGGCCGGACGTCTCCTGCGTGCCGGCAACAGTTGCCAGGAGCAGCGGGCTGAGTACCGGCACTCTGCCCAACCAGTGGTCTCTTCTCCGTCGTCCCCTCCTTCCCTCCCTGAAGGCCGAGGACAGCGACGTCCTCCTCCCTCTTCTCCTCCTCTTTGGTGCCTTCAGCCAGGAGGCGGGAGTGACCCGCGGCAGCTGACCCAGCACAGGCACTGCCTCTCCCACAGCCCTCAGAACACACGATGGGCCCAGAGGCGGGTTTGCAGCACAGCAGCGACGACGCAGGCGGCAGCCCGAGCGACTCTCAACTGCCTCCCTGACCGTCGACACCACTGCCGAACACCCGAAAAACCATCGCCACCAACGGCGGGAGACTCTACAGGCCCCTCAAAACACCTTCTCGATCGACTCAAGCTACGTCAACAACTATGGCAGGCGAGGGGTGGCGGGCGGAGCCGGAGAGGGAAGGATGGGGGCTGTACGTCACGCCCAGGGCTCCGCTACGGGAGGCGAGGCCCCGGCTCGCCCCTCAAAATGGCGGCGGCAGTGACGCGCCTGCGTATGGAACTCCTACGCCGTCGCGCCACGGCCGGCGGGAAGTGAGGTTCTCAGAAGAGCCGCCCGAAGTGTACGGCGACTTCGAGCCCCGGGCGGCCAAAGAAAAGGCCCCGGTGGGAAGACAAATTCCGCTAGAAGAGTTCCGGCCCGATTCGGCGAAAGAGGAAGTGAGGGAACGCTCCTATTACCTTCGGTCTCGGCAGCGGAGGCAGCCGCGACTCCCGGAAGCCGAGATGAAGACGCGAAGGGCTACTCGCCTCCAGCAGCAGCAGCAGCAGCACTCACAGCCGCCTCCGCTGCAGCCGTCTCCGGTTACGACCCGGAGAGGATTACGGGAATCCCATTCACCCGAAGGTGAGGCCGACAGAGGTAACAGTCTCAGCCCCGAGCCAAGGAGGGAGTGCCGCGAGCGTGCGCATGCAGAGGGCGTGTGCGCCTCGGCCGGGCGTGTGCCTTTCTGGACCTCACCCCCTCGGGGCTCTTCCGCCCGGATGGGCGTGCGACCCCACGCCCGGTCCGCCCAGACTGCTGGCGGGAAAGCGGCAGGGGCGGGGGCACTGGAAGGGAAGGCAGTTGTGCCGAGCTACTTGAGCAGAGCTACTTGAGCAGATCCGTGGAGCCGCGTGCATCTTTGGGCATCAATTTAGGGGTGTCAGGATTGCCTCTTTTCTGCAGGCTTGCACGTTGGGACGGCGAGTTAGGCAGCAGGCGGGACACTGAATCACTCCGGGCTGGGTTTCATATCGGTTCTCTTTGTCCTGCGGATGTTTCTACCAAAGCCACTTCCATTTCCTCTTTTAACTCTCAGAGGCCAGAAGTCCCTAGCTGAGAATTTTGGTTCTCCTCTAACCTTCCAGTCTTTTTCCATCACTACCCAGGTGGGGAGAGAGGGAGGGGAATTTTGTGAGTGGCCGTTTTGAGGACAAGTGTAGTTGATGAATTGATTTGAGGGCCCACCCAAATACTTACACCGAAATAGGGTAAGGCAGTTATCCTGAACTTGAAGCTTCCCAGTGCCTGATAAATTTGAGCTGATCGCTCTTTCTAGAGTGTGATGGTCTCTGGCAAAAATTCGCATGTTGGGGACCGTCAATGGTTAAGTAGTAGCCAGACAAAGCAAGACTTTTAATTAGTTGTCGTCTGAATGGGCCGCAAGGATACTGACAAGGTGATTGTATAGTTTTAGGAAAGTCACAGATGAATCAACTCCCTTAATCCATCCTCTCCCACCCTGCCCCCTCTCCCCCATCTAACCCTGAGTCACAGATGAAGTTTCATGTTGGCTCCCCGTAGGGCACCTATGAGGTAAAATCAGGGGATTTGAATCATAATGGAATTACATAGTGATAGACCTTTGATGGATATGATGAAGAGGAGGTGGATTTTCAGTTTAGAGCAGAGTAATAGGCTGCACATTTACGAGCTACCACGTGAAGTGCTGCCACATTGGAAGGTGTGTTGATTTTGGAAACTGTTAAAGATAATGTAAATTAGTATTGGGAGTAGCAATTCAAGACAGTTTAACCCATATATATGTTAGTTTTCTCTTTTTTTTTAAGATTGTCAACTTCTGAAGACAAAGACCCTACATATATATTTATGTATTTGAAGGACCACGCTATACTTCCGTGCTTATGTTCATTCTGTATCTCCAATATCTGGAAGAATGCTTTAGAAGGCAAAAAATATATATGTTAAATTGTATTGACTCTCCCACACAGGCTGGTGCAGTTGTATAAGCTAATTTTTTTTAACACATAAAGGATATACTTCTATTTTAGTAAATCTATAAGGATCTACACGTTTTTCATTCTTCTGCTTTAGCCCATCTTTTAAATTTTCTAAAGTAATGTAATTTTGTTGTAAAGCATCATTGGTGAATAGTTTATTTTTATATTGTCTTAAAGAATAGTTCTGGCTAGTTAAATTCCTAAGTTTTGGTAAACCTAATAACACATTTCTGAAGGGATGAATTACTTGCATTTCTGTTTATATATTGCTGTTAATATACATAATCTCTACTCAGTTCACATATTCTGAATTTTAGAATTGTCATATCTTTTCTTTAGAGGATGAACCACCTTCACAAACTGTTTTAAGCCCAACCGTCTCAAAGAAAACTATCAGGAGAACACAGACTCCAGGTGAGAAGAGTGAGTTTATTGTTTTCCTTACGTGCCTGCTTTTTTTTATGTATAGATGATAGCCTGGTCTATCAAGGGTCACAGATCATACCTCATTCAGGGTTTCAGTGAATCTTCTTTATAGGTTGTTTATTGAATTAAGCAATAGTAGCATGTGTCAAGAAAAGACAGTGCACATACTTGAGTACCTACTAAATACCATATACTTTGTGTATGTTAATTCATTCACATAACTATGCAGGATAGATGTACCCATTTTTTGGTGAGAAAACTGGAGCTCAGAGTAGCTAACTTTTCCCTAAGGTTACTTGCTTGTACCTGAGCCAAATTCAGACCCAGGTTTGTCTTCTCCAAAGCCCTTTCATTTGCCCCAAGTACCTTACTGTCACTGTCCCATGTAATAATTACTACTCAGTAAAGCTTGTTAAGTGTTGAATGAATGAATATGTCACACTACTTTCCATTTGAAACGGATTAAGGGCTTCCCTGGTGGCGCAGTGGTTAAGAATCCTCCTGCCAACGCAGGGACACAGGTTTGAGCCCTGGTCCGGGAAGATCCCACATGCCGTGGAACAACTAAGCCCGTGTGCCACAACTACTGAGCCTGCGCTCTAGAGCCCGCGAGCCACAGCTACTGAAGCCCGCGCACCTAGAGCCGGTGCTCCACAACAAGAGAAGCCACCGCAGTGAGAAGCCCGCGCACCGCAACAGCGAGTAGCCCAGCTCAGCGCAAATAGAGAAAACCTGTACGCAGCAATGAAGACCCAATGCAGCCAAAAATAAATAAATAAAATAAAATGGATTAAATGATCTGCGTTGTAAAATCATGACACAATATGGTCAATCTCAGTTTGATAATATATTTCATCAAATCTAAGATCTCATCAGTTGTAAGATACACTGTCATTGTTTTATGTACCACCTAGGAGGAAGAAATGCTGCCAATTAAACTGTAATATGCCTTAGATTTTATGATACATCCCACTTTCAGAGATGTTAAAGTGTAAAAATATTTGCATCTTAGTATCAATGTAACATGACAATAGGGTATATTTGATAGTCTACTTAATGTTTTAAAACCTGTTTAAACTATTTTGAAAAGCAAGGGAAAGGATTAAGTTGTCATTAATGCGTAACATCCTTTGGATTTTAGTTCCATTTATTTTCAGTTTGCTTTTTTTGATATTAGGAAAGTCCACAGCAATAAATGATTGTAGCTATTGAAACTGATCATCTCTGGCTTTTTATTTTTAAACGCAAATCCTGACTTCTTTCCTTACCCATTGCTTCTAATAAGATTATTCCTTATAATTTAAACTGTTCTGTTCTCAATTTAGAATGAATAAATATCTGGTTCAAGTTCAATTCCAAATAACACACCCTTTATGCTTAATTCCTTGAATAGCCTATGGTACTGTGTTAAAATTATAAACTACCTTAGAAAAATGCTTTGAGTGATAGGTGCTATAAACAGATTTTCCAGGCCATTTTTTTTTTAAGATTCATTTATTTATTTTTGGCTGCGTTGGGTCTTAATTGCTGTGCGTGGGCTTTCTCTAGTTGCGGTGAGCAGGGGCTACCCTTTGTTGCAGTGCGTGGGCTTCTTATTGTGGTGGCTTCTCTTGTTGCGGAGCACGGGCTCTAGGCACACAGACTTCAGTAGTTGTGGCACTCAGGCTCAGTAGTTGTGGCTTGCGGGCTCTGGAGCACAGGCTCAGTAGTTGTGGCACATGGGCTTAGTTGCTCTGTGGCATGTGGGATCTTCCAGGACCAGGGCTCGAACCCATGTCCCCTGCATTGGCAGGCAGATTCTTTTTTTTTTTTTTTTTTTTGCGGTACGCGGGCCTCTCACTGTTGTGGCCTCTCCCGTTGCGGAGCACAGGCTTTGGACGCGCAGGCTCAGCGGCCGTGGCTCACAGGCCCAGCCACTCCGCGGCACGTGGGATCCTCCCAGACCGGGGCACGAACCCATGTCCCCTGCATCGGCAGGCAGACTCTCAACCACTGCACCACCAGGGAAGCCCCAGGCAGATTCTTAACCACTCTGCCACCAGGGAAGTCCTTCTAGGCCATGTGGAAAAACCATATTCTTGAAATTTTATTTACAGGAGATTTAATTTCATGTCCCTTATACTGGGAGAAACAAAAACCTCTCATTTTTAAAACCTATAGTAAATTTATAAAAATTATGGAGTTAAGTAAATTGATGTAATGAAGACTGGTGAGCACCAGCCTATAGACCATTATAAAACGATTATAAAATAGAATGTCTCGTACAGTCTTTTGGAGTTCACATTAGGCCTGTATTTAAGGACTGCTGTTGAGGTACATGGCTGCATAATGTTGTGGAAAGAGCACTGGACCTTGGTTGAATTAGCTACCCACCTTGAACCTCAGGCCTTTATCTGTATGACTTACCCAGCCTAACTCACAAGGCCACTGCAAAAATGATATAGTACTTGCCAAGTCAGTTTGTACACAGTAAAACATACAGATATAAGGTGGGGGTTTTTTCCTCACGGCACTTTACGGGAGATGTGAAGTTCATAAAATTTTGCTTAAGCATTTCTTTTTTCTCAAGAAGCTTATGCTATAGTTGGTAATGGAAAAGACAAAACATTTCCCAGTATAGATGATAGATCAATGGAACTCATGCATAGATTACCTGGAATATATCGATATCATACTGTGCTACAATATAACTAGAAATAAGGATATGTGTATCTTTGAGAGACTTGAGATACTCGGGGTTCTCTTACTCTAAAAGGTGCTTTTAAAAATTATATTGCATCTAGCACTTGGCATGTTCCTGTATCATTCCTCTTAATAAAAGGAGAAAGAGTTTAGGGAAGTCATTAAATGAATGGTTATAAAGTCTTTCTAGCAGAGGAATTATTTAAACAGGAGTTAACTGATGGAAAACTGCTTTAAGTGCAAGTTTAAGGATAGGCCCTTCCTTGTTTGAGGGAATGTAAATTGGCGCAGTCACTATGGAAAACAGTTTGGAGGTTCCTTAAAAAAACTTAAAATAGAGTTGCCGTATGATCCTGCAATCCCACTCCTGGGCATATATCCAGAGAAAACTCTAATTCGAAAAATACATGCACCCATATGTTTATAGCAGCACTATTTACAGTAGCTAAGACATGGAAGCAACCTAAATGTCCATCAACAGCTGAATGGATAAAGAAGTGGTATGTGTACATGTTTATGTGTGCGCACACACACACACACACACACACACACACACACACACACACTGGAATACTACTCAGCCATTAAAAAGAATGAAATAATACCATTTGCAGCAACATGGAAGGACCTAGAGATTATACAAAGTGAAGTAAGCCAGAAAGAGAAAGACAAATATTATATGATATCACTTATATGTGGAATCTAAAATATGATACAAATGAACTTATTTACAAAAATAAACAGATTCACAGACTTAAAAAACAAAGTTATGGTTACCAAAGGGGCAAGGGGGGTGGAGGAAGGATAAATTAGGAGTTTGGGATTGGCAGATACAAACTATTATATATAAAATAGATAAATAACAAAGTCCTACTGTATAGCACAGGGAACTATATTCAGTATCCTATAAGAAACCATAATGGAAAAGTATGAAAAAGAATATATAACTGAATCACTTTGCTATACGCCAGAAACTTAATACAACATTGTAAATTGACTATACATCAATTAAAAAAGAAAAAAGATAGTCCCTTCCTTCTTGTAGAATCATAGACTTTCAGTTTAACTTTGGTATTCAGAATTGTGCCATAATTGTATATAGGGCCAGTGGTGTGGTCTGAGAGAACTTTATCCAAAAATGTCCTTGAAAATAATGACCTAAAGCAAGGGGCCACTTTCTAAAACAACCTAGTAAAGACAACTACATCATTTGTCATCCTGTTTTTGAAGCTGTGAAAAAATGTTGATTGTATTAGTTTAGAATAGGGACATGGTTTAAACTCTGCTTAATGTTTGAAGTTTCAGAATTGCATTATTTTCACATTGAAATAGCCATTAGGTTGTTCAGTCAGTTCAGTCCACATATACCTATATAACTTCTTCTATGGCCAGGTTCATTCCTTTCATGAAACTAATTTCATAGTCTAAAAATACAGTAGGAAAATTTCATTTACTTTTCCTAAAGTTAAATATTTTTAACAGTTATGGTTTCTGGCTAAATAATTATAGTTAAATATTTTTAATACCTTCTATTTTGTCATGAACATTTGATTCTTTGGCTCCTGTAGTTACAGCATTCATTCATTCTCCAAATATTATTGAGCACCTACTTTATACCAGTCCCCTTGCTAGAGCCTGGGGGTGCAGTGGTGAGCAAAAGCAGCAGACAAAGGAAGGAGATTGCTACTAAAGAAGGGTACTTGTTATTTTATTCTCATACCTCTCTGGGCTAGTCTGTCTCCTTCAGGTATCTTACATAGGACTGTATATATGGTAGAGCATACAAGAAAAGCTCAAATGAAAAGATGGGGACTGAAATAGTAATTGATGTCTATAGAGTAAGTTAAGTTTTAGGTTTTAATTAAACCTGAAAAGGATGAGAATACAGAGGAGAAAAAGAGGAAGGTAGTTGTAATAATAAGAGTAACAGACATGTACAAGATTTCTTTTTAAAGCTGCTTATATAAGTTCTAAATACCTGATATGTGAAATTCTAACAGCTGATAATATTTCATAGAATCTTAGAACTGGAAGATTTAGGGAAGTCATCTACTCAGAGTTTCTATCAGTGTAGGTGTCCCTCTGTTAACATGTATCTGTGCATTGTTGATCATCTGCAGTGATGTGGAAATCACTCCCTTACTCTCCATTCTGTCTTGGAGACAACACTTAATTTGGTTGTTTTTCATTTTACTATTGAACTAAAAGCTACTTTGCTGTAACTTTCTCTTGATCTTAGTTCTGCGTTTTTGAGCTACACAAAGTCAATTTAATTGTTTCTCTACATCTCTGTCTTGAAGATGTACAAAATCATGCTCAGTAAGTATTTTTAGAACAAATGAATGGGTGCCCCTTCAAGATTTCTCTTCTTGATACTGTAAAGGGGAAATTGGATAAAGTCAGTTTTGTGAAAACAAACATAGGCAGCCAGTGTAATGGCAGGGGTCAGGGATAGCTGGTTCAGAATGTGGTTTTTACACTTCTCATACAGAGCCAAACATACCGCTTTTTTTTTTTTTGTATTTTTGCCGTACGCGGGCCTCTCACGGCTGTGGCCTCTCCCATTGCGGAGCACAGGCTCCGGACGCGCAGGCTCAGCAGCCATGGCTCACGGGCCCAGCCGCTCCGCGGCACGTGGGATCCTCCCGGACCGGGGCACGAACCTGCGTCCCCTGCATCGGCAGGCAGACTCCCAACCACTGCGCCACCAGGGAAGCCCATATACTGCTTTTTTATAGAAACAAATGAAACAAAGCACAATATAACCCAAATTTAGATGTAGATTGCATTTTATTTTATGTTGTGTGAGGCTGTTTGAGGAAACACACATTGGATTTCTAGGCTAACATTAATATTTTATTTAATGGGATTGGCTTCCTCATTAACCCTATGCCATTGAACCATAGACAGTCTGAAACCTGGCTAACATTAACATTGTTTTAAAGATTGGAGTTTGCATTTCCTGAACACACACAAGGTTAAGTAATTGGAGGGAGTGTATTAAGTCTCAGGAAGTTAACCCTCAAATTAAAATATGACATAAATAATCCACAATTAGGGTATGCCACAAATGGGGTAGATAATTGAGTTGGTGCTATGGTACAGATTTTGGTTCTTAATTGAGAAATTTAGAAAAGTGTTATTTGATATTCCTTTCTTGTTACGCAAATATAGTCTGGTGAGAAAAACTGCAAAATTTTCCATCTAGTCCCTAAATTTTTTATAGCAGGAAACTTTTCTCTAGTTCACTATTGTATTCCCATACTTAGCAAAATGGAGAGCTCAGAAAAAACTTGGCTGACTAAATAGATGATTGTATAATAAATCTAATATGTTTGACATTTTATATATTTTTTAAATGTTTTCTCTTCCTGTATTAGTGGTGAGTAAAGATCCTGTAATGGGCCTGTGTAGACCCCCTCTAAGAAGCTCAAGATTTGGTAAGAGACTGTTTTGTCTGTTGGTTCAACTTTCTTATATTTTTAAATAGGGTACTACATGTATTCATATGGTTCAAAATTCAAAAGTTTCTATAAATATACAATGAAACGTCTCCCTGCCCCTTCTGACCTTTGCCCACCCAGTTTCCTCATCAGAGGCAACTAATGTTGTCAGTTTCTTAGGTATTTTTCCAGAGGTATTTTATGGAGATATAGGGAAATTCATGTATAAATGATATTTTCCTCTCTTTTTTTAACCCAAATTTTAGCCCAATAAATACTCCTTTCTGTACTTATTGTTTATTTATTTTTACTTAAAATATATTGAGACATCTTTCTATATAAGTGTATAAAGGACTTCCTCATTCTTTTTAAGAGGTTGTTTCTTATATGTTGCTATGATTCTTTTTGTTAGCAAAATGGTTTTAAATTAGGGTCAGGGACTTTTTATTCTTCCCAGTATAATGCTAATAAAAAATTCAAGACTGAGGCTTTGTGGCTCAGGGCTATAAATTTTCCCTGCCTTAATTACGTTTCTTTTTGATTAAAACCTTAAAAGAGTATTGCCCTTAAATTGATTTCATGACTATGAAAGAAAACTAGTAATGTCATTCCAAGAGGTCTACTTCTACTTAATTTTTAGAGTTTACAGACCCATAAGGGTGCTTTATCGGGGAACTAAAAAGGAAGCTTATTTATCTTCACATGAGGTTTCTACTTCTCAATCATTCCCTTTAAAAAAGAATTCGGTTGATTTTTTTATTTTTTTATAGATGGCTGTCCTTTTAAGTGTTATAAATGGTAAAAATCTGTTAAGGTTTTGATGATGAACCTGTGGTAAAGAACCATATGATGCATTTCCTTTTCAGCTCTAATCATTTTCTTGCTATCTCTCTTGCAGATTTGTCATATAAAACAAATGGAAATACTAAAATGAGTGAATTAGTTTTGTTTATCTCTAATTCTTGTAGGTTCTCTTTGAGGTGTCTTAATTATCAGTAGAATACAGGAGTACATTCATTTGGTCACTGGCTTGAGAATATTACTTTGTTCATTATCTCAGCTTGAGGGGCAGTGTCCTTATGACCATAAACTTTCTTAATCACCTGGGTTTTTATTCTCTCTAAAATTATGTCTTTTGTTATATTATTGTTTAAATTCATGTAAGAAAATATAAGAACATATATTCTAGTTTTTACTAGCAGTCAAGTTCACACTATCGGGAGAAAAGGATATCAATTTACCAATTAAGGTTTTTTCTTGATTTAGAAAGTGAATTTGAGCTTTTTCAAGGTAAGTTGAGTGTTCTTTGCCATGTTTGTTGAAATGGTTTATATTCTTTTCAGTGTTTGCCTTGGTGTAAGACATGAGCTACCAAAATCTGCGGCTTTAAGTGAATTTACATTGATTGTGGTTGGACTTAGGTTACAATTCTTTTCTAAATTTGGAGATGAGTCAAAAGGAGGGAAGCTTCATTTTTCTTTATAAATAGTTGCAACTTGTTTTAAATTTCTTTCACTTAAGCTCAGGCTAATTTTTTTTTAGAGACTTCAGCATTTATAGTGTCTGGGCACTGAAAATGATCCTTGTAGTACGCAACTTATCATGTGTACTTTCACCCACCAGTTTCTCAAATGCTCTATTTAAAAACTTAGAAAAAATATTTTTTAAGTCACAGAACCTTAATTAGAAGACAACTTGGAGCTGAAATAATCTAGCACGTTTATGTTCTTTGTATGCTCGATTTAGAAATCATTTCTATAAGTACTTTGTAATAAAAAACTAACTTTAAAAAAGTGCTTTCCAGCTTAAAGGGAATTTCTGTGAGATCAATATAGGGAATGACACCCTCTTTTTTTTTTTTTTTTTTAGTAGTAATACTAGTACATCTTGGAGTATATAAAATGGCTATTCATGGAGCTTGAGCACTAGTGATACTTCCAAACTATTCTTTATTCTCTATTTCTTGCAGCCCCGCTCTGTTCTCCAAAACATGATTGGCATTGAATAGTCTTAAAAGGTACCTTTCTTGAAGGTATCTATAGCAGGGGTCCACAAACTACAGCCTCTGAGTAAAATCTGACCTGCAATCTTGTTTTTGTACAGTCTGTGAGCTAAGAAAAGATTTTTACATTTTATACTCACATACACACACACGTGTGTGTGTGTGTGTGTGTGTGTGTGTGTGTGTGTGACAGAGACCATATGTGGCTAGAGAAGCCTAAAATATTTACTATTTGGCCCTTGATGGAGAAAGTTTGCCACCCCCTGATTTTATCAGTGGCAGAAATAAACACAGCATATCACCCAAATTAGCATTTGTTTGTTCTAAGTAAATTCAGAGAGTTCCATACTTGTCTGGACATAGATTTATTGCAACATTCCACACTAGGTTTTCCTGACAACACAAAAGACAGGAGACACAGTGACTCTCCTGTATTCTATCTAGTCTTCTCTTTGAGAAGGCATGATAGTCTCACTTCTGAATCTTCATGTCTTTGTCCCCGGACACAACACAAGTGAAGTTTATATTTCCTTGAGTACCCTTCACTGCTCACACGAACACATTCCATAAGTCTCTAGGAATATGAAAGTCTATAGTAGAAATATACCTGGGACTTCGTGTTTTTCTTAAAAACAATGACCAGGAAAAAGAAAGTGAACAGAAAGTGATACAGTTAGTGGATGGTCTCCACCCACCAGAAGAAGTGGTTGTAAGTGGTCTACGTTTACAGCAGACATAAAGACCTAGGACTTCTGAAAGTACTTTTTCCTAATTGGTTGAAGTTGTTAGAAAAGTGACACCTCCTTAATAGCACATTTAATTATTGCCATTTTTCTAAAAGCCACAGCTTTTATATTTTAATAACTTTTTTGATTAAGGGTATTATTGCTCCAAATGGGATTTTAATTTCTTAAAGTTTCTGCATGAGTGTAGGGA